GTAAATCGCGATCACCTTTTTTATTATTATTATACATTCGTCTCTCGCTCTCTCTCTCTCCCCCTTGCTTCTCTGGCCGAGGCGGGCCCGGCGTTGAGCGTGACGATATCATATGGTATTCTCCCTCGGCCACAAATCGCTGCGAGTGAATTCCTGGCTGCGATTCTCTGTCGACCGTGTCATTCATTCATAGACGCGCGGGACTGGGGCAATGGAGCGGCCTGTTGCTGCGAGTTGCAAATATTGTTGCTTGATTGATGAACAGAAAGCGCGCCTACGCTCACTAAGGGGCTTGCGCGCTTACGCTCGGTGCGGGGCCCTGGATCCGTGTGAGTGCCACCGAACGAGCATATTAACGTTTGACAGCCTACAGCATGTTGACGAAACATTTATTTCCTCTTCTGCCTTATCCCCCCCGTCCGTTATCTGTCCGCAGGCGCACGTACGCAGCGGAAAGCACGTGCTGGCAGCGTCCACTCGCGCGGATCTGCCGAAATGGCCCTAGTAAGCGGAAGTAGGATGGACTAGCAGGCGTGATCCCAGTTTTGAGTGTGAAGCTGCCAGAGCTATTTTGGGGCCCGTGTGTGAGTGAGCGTGTGTGTCGGAGTGTTTGTCTGTCTTCCTATCATTATGTCTCTTTACTTGCTTCTCTGCACACCTGTCTGTCTACATGTCAGTTGTCTTTTCGTCTGTCCTGGCAGTCGGTCTGTCTATCAGTCTGCCTGTCTGTCCGTGCATGCCCGTGGACGAGTGCGTGCGTGCATTTGTGCGTGTGACTGAGAATGAATGAGAGTTTGGGCGATTGCTAGATAGATAGTTTTACACCGGTTCATACATATTTACTTGTGTGGCTGAGTCGACGGTCGGATGAATGAGCAACCAGGTATTGTGCGTGCGCCAAGATAGATGCAACTTGGGCAGAGGTTGAGTTCGCGCGATTGAAATGCGAGTGGCGAGCTCCTCCTGACAGTCTCTCTTGTGAGAAAAAAATAAAATACGGACGATCTTCTCGGTTTTCTTTGATGCTTTCTCCTGGGAAAAAATAACGCTGTTTTTTATAAGGACAGTGGAGGTGACGGTATATGATTCTGTGGTGATGGTGAGGATGAGGTTGAATGAGAAGTTTAATAACATTGGTTGTGTTTGTTAAAGTCGAAACTGATGACAAGAAAGTAATACATTTTGATGATAAGATTATGTAATGTAATATTATAATCAGTGACGATTGATATGGTGACGGTAATGGAGATGAAGATGATGATGTAGTAACAAAAGCAATGATGATGCTAATACTCATAACGACTTTGTAGAGTAATAATGACATTTGTAATTTCTCACTTCATTTTTCACAGTAGTAAAAATAATCGAATAGTGATCATGACAATGTAAAAATGAGGATGAAAGTAACAATGACAGTAATGAAAAGACGATAATACGAATTTTGTTCTTAATATTGATACACGCAATTGTAGCGATGAAATTAGTGAATGAAAAATAAGCTTATCATAATCATGTACCTGCTAATGACGAAAAGGGCAAAGTAATTCTAACAAAAGCCGGGAATTACCAGGATGATTTCAAGTTAAGAAAAACGAAGAAAAATAAATGTTAACAAATGCAGGTAAAGTTATGTATTGGAGGCGAGTAAATCACACAGTGTAATATGGGCTAATTGCCACGGAGTAAGGTTGGGCATTTCCCACAATATGAGATTAACAAGGCCCAATGTGCTAAATAGGATATTTCCCACAGTTTAGCATTAACAAGTCCCACAGTGCAAGATAAAATATTTTCCATAAAGTAAGATGAATAATTTTCACTGTGTAATATTTCCTACGATGCAATGTAGGATAATTCCCACAGTCTTTATATAACTCCCACAGTGTTTGGGAGGTTCCTGTCGTGAAATATAGATTTCTCACAATAGTCTGGATGATAAAAGGATTCACAAAACGCAAGATGAAATATTTCCCGCAATATAAGATTGATAATTAACATGATATAAGATAGACCAATTTCCACAATATGAGTTCCCTCAACGTCGGATGGGAAAAGTTCCCAGTTGAAGACAAGAGAATTCCCATGCTAAAAGCAGGAACAGTTTCCACAGCTTACGAGACGGAATTCCCACAAGAATTCGCACAAGCAATGTCGCTCGCCATCTGATTTATTCTCGATTCACGACTCGGTCAAGTCCTCGGATAAAACGCGGCACTTGAAGAAAATCGCAAGGTAGAAAAGATACACCAAGTTGGAAAAGATACACTAAGTTGGAAAAAAATACACTAAGTTGGAAAAGATACACTAAGTTGGAAAATATAAATCAAGTTGGAAAATGTAATCATCTGTTGTCCGAATGCGCACGTGCGGTCGATCACTCGTGTTTTTTTTTTTTTTTTTTTTTCTTTTTTGCGGGCTTTGCGAATGGGTTTCAGGAGCGAGAAAATCTGATTTGTGGGGAACGGCGAAGCGTCTCTAAGCCCAATAAACAGGTGGGGGT